CATATTATGCGTGACCCAGGCCGGACCAACCGAGTCCGACCCGATGACCACGCTCCAACGCAGGTAACCGATCACTTTCTTGTTGGCGCTGGCGGGATTAGGCCTGTTCACGCGGTGGCTGTTTTTCGCGTCTGCCGCGCCAGGCGCATGGATGCCCCACACCCTCACAAATACGGCCAAAACACTGTCAAAGACATGACGCACAACATGCAGTAGTCATATTGCCTCAAATGCCCCTACATCGCGAGATAGAGAGTGTTAATGATCCAATCAAAATCAAAAAAATTCGCATCTACTGTGGATGCGGCCCACATCAGAGCGAGGATGACTTTGCGTTGTAGACCTTGAAACCGCAGCGCGAAGAGACAATGTCTTTTTCTGGCTATGTGTGCACGTCCTTCATTGTGCCTACATCAAATGATGTTGAACAGCTTTTCAGCCTGTGCAAGCGTCTGTACTCTCCACATCGGCAGTCATTTAGTCCTAGAACTCTCGAAATACTGGTGTATTTAAAATCAAATCGATATCTTTGGGATCAATCGCTTGTGGCATCAGTTGTCCATGACAGTCAAGATGAAAATAATGACGATTTTAACGAAGATGATGAAGACATCGGATCTGACATACCGTAGAGTAAAATACATGCCTCAATATATTGTTTATTATTGTCAATACAATTCAATATATTGCAATAATTGATTGTTCGACTTGTCTAGACCAATACAATACACAATACAATATTGATAAGGCCAGTACATGACGCAATTTCATCCCATTTTGGGCTCCTCAACTATTTCGCCAATGACTGGCTAATAATATGCCCACTATCCAATCATTGATCCCAATCTCATTCCAACTTTTCAATTTGACATCATGGACTCGACCACTGCCGTGTGTGTGTTGCTGTCGTTGCTGTCGCCCTCATGTCGATCGACGGACGTGGCAACCGCGCCCCTGCCATCAACACTGTTGTCGTACCCAGTACCACGTGGCAGCAAGTCAAGTCCGACGGCACTTACGATGGATGGTTCACGCGCCACCTGCGCTGCACCCACCACATCTTTCTACGCATCGCCAACAATACTGTGCTATTGACCAATCAGCATGCATCTTAGTCTAATGTATTATGTACAGATAATAGGGAAAAAACGACAGATTCATTTCACATTTTTTTGATTGGTCAAAGTTCTGTCAAGTTACAATTGAAAAGTTACAAAAGCTGGTCAAAGCACAAAACAAGCACAAGAGCAGTCTGTGGTTCTTGTCACGTAAAACGTAACAAATCAAGGGTATGTACTCGGGGGAACGATGCGGTCTCTGTACGGATCTCAATGGGAACGATGCGGTCTCTGTACGGATCTCAATGGGGTGGTCGAGACACGTACAGGAACAACGGCAAACACTTGGGGTATTCAGAGCAAATACTATTGTTGTGTTGTTGTTAACCTTATACAGTCAAAATCTTGGGGGGTCACTTTAGAGTCAGTACAGCTTGAAATACGGATACTCACGTAACCGGACACGCGTCATCCGTCACCAACGTTGAGTGGTCAATTCTCTCATATTCTTCCGGACTTCACGTCAAATCTCCTGATTTGACTAGACCCTTCATCTTGACTTTCAGGGGCCATTCGCCAAACCGACCACTACGGACGAAAGTTCCACCAACACTATCAAGGCGCTGGCTCAAACGATCATGGCCGCAGCGGGCAACTCGAAGCGAGTCGTCTGTCTCAGGCCACGATCCCGACGATCGATGACACCCGCAAAACCGATTGGGTGCAGCGCTACGACGACATACACGAGGACTTGAAGCGGGCCAGAGAAGAGAACGGGACACTTGGCCAGCTCGTGCGTGCCCACGAGCGAGTGTACGCCGAGAACCAAAAGGCTTTTGATCGCATGCGCAAACGCATGTGAAGTCTAGTCTTCGAACGCAAAGTGTTTAGACACGAACGGCACCATACGTTCCGTTCGACAGTTTTGGAACTGGACGATTAAGCAATTCACTTTCGTGAATCCTGAAAACGTGGAGCTTCTGGTCAATGCTTTCGAGGCCGGATGCGACGAGTCGCCATCCGTTGGTGAAGCCGTGCAACGGGTCTGTGAGTACAGCGGAGTGTATGGGATGGCTACGGCACCTCCAACACGTATATCTACGTCCTTATTGGACGTACCAACGCTTTCGGCACTACCGCTCAAACCATCACTACCGGTCATCGCGTACGGCACCATGCTAAGGAAGGATGGTACGGCCATGACAGCGAAAGACGGAGCCATCGTGGAAGGACAAGACATACTACCCGTGGCGACGAGCATCACTGTAACCAAAGGCAAATCCGTTCGTTCGTTGAAGACGGCTGTCGATGAGGAGAGCCGGCCAACCAAGAAACTCAAAACCAGCCATGATCCCGACCAAACGGGTACGGACGGATGACTCATTTCCCCCAGAGTCTTCTCGACATTTACGACCAAGTGCACAAAATAAAGCCGTGGACGCGATACCTCCGGGCCGGGTCCATATTGCCCGACTGCGACGGTCTCAACGCACTGCACGTGACGCGTTTCAACAATGCTGTCCGTAAGTTTTGGCGTCTGTACGGACAAAAACTGTGGGAGCGGACGTATTCGCCGTATTCAACGAACCAGTTGGACTCCTTGATCCGCCAGGTCATGTACTTGTACACCGAGCTGCAGTTGTTGATGGACAATACGGACTACAGCAGCAGCCTCGTCCACTTCCTGTGCTTCCCTCATCCCGCCTGGCGATCCTTAAGTTGAAGCCGCCAACGCCGCGCGCAATTCTCGCAGGGGACCCCAAGCGGAATCACATCGTCGCCGACTATTGGCTCAAGCAATCAATATGTTTCTGGCCCGACGTTCCGTCCGTGCCGCATCCAAGCGAACCCGGCAGTGTTGTGTATACGCACGACCTGATGGCGACAGTTGCACAACTTGCAACGCGCACCGCCCACCCCGCAGTCCAGTGTAAGCTCAAGTGTGGAAAGCTCGACGCCTCCTCCATGCTAGCGAGTTTGGCCGCCACGACGAAAACGTTTGTCGACAAGAACTGCCCGTGGCGTACGGAACCGTATCCGTTCGTCTCCGTACAGTTCGCTGACGACAAACTGGGCTATTCTTGGACCAATCGAGTGGTGGCGCCGGCAACTACGCATACGTGGGACGGAAAAACAGCCAAGATGGCGTTCTGGAACCAATCCCCTCTTCGTGCTGTCAAGGCCGGCAAAATCAACACTCTCGACTCGGGCGATGACGACGAAAACGACTGGACGATCCCGACTACAGCGAAAACGACGCCCTGTCGGACCAATTGGACACGCAAAATCGACGCCGAACTTCACGACACGGACGAGTGAGCAGCTCGCGTCGAAAAGACTTCTTTTCTTCACTTTCTGGCTCCATCCCCTTTCCGTTTTTTTCAAAGACATGAATACACAATACTCGCAGCATGGTTGTCCGGAAACCGATCCATACGCGCGTCCCACTAAAACTCGAACACTTCCGACGGTTCAGTGTCAACTTCCGCCGGACGAAGGCTACGCCGTAGGGACGGTAAACCTTTTTCAGCTCGCACCGTATTCTCGTACTCCGTAATAAACGAGACGTACTCGGTCAATCTTGAACGTGGCGTACAATAACAAAGGCCATCTGCATGTTACACGAGGTACTCAGACTCACCCTTCGGACGTTTCCGTTTTACCGAGACCTTTGAGATCGGGGATTCCACATTCATGTACGCTAAGTCTCCGTCAGGGAACTGGACCCGTCCACCAATGCTGCTTTCCAGCAAAAACTCAGAGGCGAGCAACGCGTCGTTCGGATCGCCCTCGTCGAACGCTGGCCTCCAGTTGTCATCCGATGGTGTGCGGCGCAGCAACCGTTCTGGTATGTCGTCATCATACGCACGAGACCAGTACCCCTGGAATTTCTTCAGCCGGTCCATGTTGATGGGCACCACCAGGTCCGGGGTGAGATGGAAGGTAAATACGGAACGTATTCTCA